AGGCTGAGCCAAAAAGACAGCTAAATAAAAACTAGGGCCCTGAGTGGAAGATTTTCAACCAGCTTAGCAAAATGTTAAGCTGCTTCTTTACTGCTGAAGTACAGATTATGTAAATTTTTCCAACTACACTTCTAGCTTCAGGTCTAAAGGGATAATTTTAACAGCACCCAATTAGACTGTAAAGGGATTCAAGGAAAATCTATTTTCCCTATTTGGGGGTAAATATCAGGACTGGAAAGCCCTCATCATTCACTAATGAAGAAAAAACAAATGTACCATCAGGTCAAGGAGAAGCCTCTGCAACTTGAGGAAGTAAAAGAACATACGAAAAAAATATATTCAAGAAAAAATGAAATCACAGAGAAACAAAATAAACTGCCCTTGATTATCCTGAAAGAGAAAAAAATTGAATGGAAACCAAAAGGTAAACCATTATACAGTCTGCCCTCCATGTCCCTGGGTTCCACATCTGCAGATTCCAATGATACAAAGGGCCGACTGTAAGGGACTTGAATATCCAAGGATTTTGATATCTGCAGGGGGGTCCTGGAAGCGATCCCCTGTGGATACTGAGAAGTGAATATATATAAAAAGGAGCTCTAATTACATATTCAGAAAAGAGGAAAAGAATTTTATAGAATACTAAGTGCAACTTTATGCCAGTGTTTAACAGAGTTGTAATCATGATGATTTCCAGATAAATATTAGCCAAATTTACACAGAAGCAGAAAACCTGAAGAACCACTGAAAAAATTGAAAGAATAAAAATATAAGACCCACCCACCCCAACACCAGAGGGGGGAAAAAAGACCAAGATGAGTTATTTCTAACTAGGCTTCAAGAAATAATTCCTATATTATGCAAACTCTTCCAGAATAATAAAAGAGAAGAAAAATCTTCCAAAGTCATTTTGCACAGCCAGCAAAACATTAGCAAATTGAATCTACTTCTGAATTTAAAAAAAAAAAATCACCATAAACAAATAGATCTATTCCAGGACTACAAGGAAGTATCAATTATTAGGAAACTTTTGAACAAAATGAATTAGAAAAATAAAGAAATTTTAGAATAAAAGAATAAAACATTACCAACGGGTTTTAAAAAAACTTGACAGAATTTAGCAACCATTCCTAATAGGAACTCTAAGTATAATAATAATTGCTATAGCATGTACTATTTGCCAAGCACTGTTCTAAGCATGTCACACATATTAACTAATTTAATCCTCACAACCCTATGAGGTAGCTGCATTTTATAGATGGAGGAACTAAGATACAAGGAAGCTATTTGATTTGCACAGGGTCACACACCTAACCAAGATTTGAACCTAGGGTGCTGGGCACAAAATCTGTGCTCTTAACCACTACACTACACTGCTTCTTCTAAAATTAGGAATAGAAGGAAACTTCCTAAGTGCAACAGAATATTTATCAGAACCCCAAAACAAAGATTCAATGGTAAAATACTAAAAATATACCTTCCTGAGAGTTAGGAACAAGATATAGAGGGCCTATTATCCACTATTCAACATTTTTTGAAGTTCTTGCTAATGCACAACAGAGGTAGCATAGACTGAAAATTAAAAGACAAATGAATTGTTTATTATACGCCTAGAAAAGCTAGAAAGTGAAACTAAAAACTACGAAGTTAGCAACATAACAGGACACATATAAAAATTTTTTAAATTAAATCTCGTAACTAGGTATAACCAATAGAAATTGAGAAATGGCTTTCAAATGTAGCCAATTTTCCTCCATCCAAGAGCCTGAAGCTTTTTCAGGATATCAGCGCATTCACTTCTGCTGAGCACCTACACCAGACTGGTGTAGTAGGCTCATACAGTTATAAATAGTGCTGGTTCCCACCCTTTAGAGGCTTAGCATGGTATATGAACAGACAAGAACCATGAAGGTAAAACTACAGCATCCAACAAGCAGGGCAGTTCTACTGAAGATGTGCATAACCAGAAATGTCCAACTCAGGGTGGAGAGATGGACTCATGGGCTCATATAGGGTCAGGCTCTTCCCTGGGATCTGGGAGTTCCCAAGGTAAAACAATGAAAAAGAAAAAGTCCTACCTGCATATCTTCTAAAGAAAAATGGAAACAGCTTTTGGCTCTCTGAGCAGCACCATGGCGGTTGGCAAGAACAAGCACCTTACAAAAGGCGGCAAAAAGGGAGCCAAGAAGAAAGTGGTTGATCCATTTTCTAAGAAAGATTGGTATGATATGAAGGCACCTGCTATGTTCAATATAAGAAATATTGGGAAAACACTAGTCACCAGAACTCAAGGAACGAAAATTGCATCCGATGGCCTCAAGGGTCGTGTATTTGAAGTGAGCCTTGCTGATCTGCAAAATGATGAAGTTGCATTTAGAAAATTCAAGCTGATTACTGAAGATGTTCAGGGCAAAAACTGCCTGACTAATTTTCATGGCATGGACCTTACTCGTGACAAAATGTGTTCCATGGTTAAAAAATGGCAGACTATGATTGAAGCTCATGTTGATGTCAAGACTACCGATGGTTATTTGCTTCATCTGTTCTGTGTTGGTTTTACTAAAAAACACAACAATCAGATACGAAAGACCTCTTATGCTCAGCACCAACAGGTCTGCCAAATCCAGAAGAAGATGATGGAAATCATGACCAGAGAGGTGCAGACAAATGACTTGAAAGAAGTAGTCAATAAATTGATTCCGGACAGCATTGGAAAAGACATAGAAAAGGTTTGCCAATCTATTTATCCTCTCCATGATGTCTTTGTTAGAAAAGTAAAAATGCTGAAGAAGCCCAAGTTTGAATTGGGGAAACTCATGGAGCTTCATGGTGAAGGTAGTAGTTCTGGAAAAGCTACTGGTGACGAGACAGGCGCTAAAGTAGAACGAGCTGATGGATATGAACCACCAGTCCAAGAATCTGTTTAAAATTCAGACTTTTAATAATGACAAATAAAGAGTCCTATTTGTGGAAAAAAAAAAAAGAAAAATGGAAACAAACACCAATTAAAATGTATATTCACAAATGGCAAATTTTTAGTTGTGTCCTAGGGTCAGTAATATTTTTTAGGACCCAAATAAACATTCTTTCTAACCACGTCTGAGATGTCTCTCCCAGAATCACATCTAATTCTTACTTTTTTAAGCCTCAGCTCTTCCCCTTCTTCTACAATGAGACATATATCAAAACTCATGAAATCTCCCCTGCAGATTACGTCTGACATTGCCCTTCTAGCCTCCTCTTCCACCTTTGTCACACGGCTGATCCCGTCAGCCTGTTAAGAGGAAATTTGGGGGATGGAAAGAGAAGGAAGTGGACACCAGAGCAAAGGTCCCCCAGCACTGGGGCCCAGGTGCAAGGGTGAAAGGGAAAAGCTACAGTCTCACGACAGATGTATGACTGTAGGAAAGGAAATCCTCTCAGATTTTCTGTTTCTTGTGTCTTTGGGGAAGAAAGAGGGCCCAGAAGACATTTACAGTAATTAAGGGTACAAGTCTTTAATTAAGTCTTTAATCTTTAAATTAAGATAGTAGTTGTAGGTAGATAGAACTAGTTAATGAGGAAAACAGATTAGTGTGAATCTATCAGCTTTCCACAAATCTTATCACTGTGAATTTCAATCATTGAGGAATGCTTCTGGCTGGATTTTCAATCATCTGTACCAGCGGTCCCCAACCTTTCTGGCACCAGGGACAAATTTCATGGAAGACAATTTTTTCCCGCCAGGGTTGGGGGTTGTTGTGGGGGGGAAGGGGTCATGGTGCAGAGCTCAGGCAGTGATGTGCAGCCTGTTTCCTAACAGGCCATGGACTGGTATCGGGCTGTGGCTCAGGGGTTGAGGACTGCAGATCCATACCACAGCTCTGAAAGTCAAGTCTTCTTTGCACTAAATTAAGACTCTGTTATTCACCTGTTAATTTAGGAAGGAGGGTGCAATCAGAAAGTTCAGAACTAGAGTCAGCATACAAGGCAAAGTACATATCAGTGAGATATGACTGCCCAACCTAGTAACTAGAAACAAATACATTCATTCACACACACACAGATACACATAAACCCATTAACTTTTTGAGGCTGAAGTAACACTAGTAAGATTTCCCAGAATACATGTAGAAGATATCAATAAGGTTCTTGTATGTGATATTCTATAATGATATGCATGTCCATCTTTAGAAGCATATACTCTGGTTGGGGAGGGGCTGGAGATCATACATACTTTAAGAGTAATTCAATTTGAGAGCTGAGATTTAAAAAATTAATTTATTTAACTGGTATATACAAAGTATTATCTATATGCTGAAAGAATACATACTTGACCTCAAAGAGCCTACAATAAATTGGTATGAAAGTATACAGACACACATAATTTACAAGGCAATTAAACAACTGTTGGACATTGGAGCACCAGCTAATTCAAAAAATTGAAGTCAAATCAATAGAAGTTTAAGAAGAATAAAGGAGCATTTGAAGTTGTTCTTTCAAAGATAAGATGAAGGTTGTGAGCAACACAGATTAGCAAACAGGATAAAAAAAGTTTTTCTAGCTAGGTAACATAAATGATGAGAGGCTATAAACTTTAAAGAATAGATGGGGAGGGCTGTAGCCAAGAGGCAGGAAAGAATGAATCAGTCTTATAGAATGACTTTATGCAAACAAAATGGAGAAATTAAGGTATAATAGAAAAGATAATGTATCTGTGCTTGAGAAGCACACAGTCTGATTATAGAATGCATAACTAAGAAACGAGATAGACTATAGTTAAAATTAAAAAATAAAAGGAAACCTACAAGTAAATGAAATGTGTAGTCCTTACTTTCCTAATAGTGGGTAAGGATCACACTAAGTTACTCCCACTCTCCCACCTTAGTGACCCAAAGGAAATCAGGCAGGCAATGGTCCACACTGATTAGTGTTTCCAAGAGAAGACCACAGTGTGAGCATCTTCTTATAAAGAAAACTTAACTCAAAGGTCTTCACTCTCTGTCTCAGAGAACCATGCCTTAAGAAACTGACCGAGCCAGACCTGAGGGCTTCTCTCCAGTGTGAGTTCGCTGGTGGTGATTAAAAGTGGAGCGCTGACTAAAGGCTTTCCCACACTCGCTACATTCATAAGGTTTCTCTCCAGTGTGAACTCTCTGGTGCACAATAAGCTGTGAGCTGTCACTAAAGGCTTTCCCACAATCATTGCATTTATAGGGTTTTTCCCCAGTATGTGTTCTCTGATGTACCATAAGGCTGGAGCTATAACCGAAGACCTTTCCACACTCATTACATTCATAGGGTTTCTCACCAGTGTGAATTCTCTGATGTATAATAAGGTGTGAGTTTTGATTAAAGGACTTTCCACATTCATTGCACTTATAGGGCTTTTCACCTGTGTGAAGTCTCTGGTGCCGAATAAGACATTTACTCAAACTGAATGCCTTACCACACTCACTACATTCAAAAGGTTTTTCTCCAGTATGAATTCGCTCATGATCAACCAGTTGAGAATTCTGACTGAAGGCTTTCCCACATTCGCCACATTTGTATGGCTTTTCCCCAGTGTGGAGGCTCTGATGTCGAATAAGACATTTGCTCCGACTGAAGGCCTTGCCACATTCATTACACTCATAAGGCTTCTCCCCAGTGTGGATTCTCTGATGGTCTAGGAGATTTCTATTGGAACAGAAAGCTCTCCCACACTCATTACACTTGTAAGGTTTCTTACCACTGTGAAGGACCTGATGTCGCACAAGACTTTTACTCCGAATGAATGCCTCTCCACATTCATTGCATTCATAAGGTTTCTCCCCAGTATGAGTTCTCTGGTGGTCAATGAGTTGGCAACTCTGAGTGAAGGCTTTTGCACATTCATTACATTTATAAGGTTTCTCCCCATTATGGAGTCTTTGGTGTTGAATGAGATGGGAGCTATGACGATAGGTCTTTCCACACTTGCTACATTCATAGGGCTTTTCCCCCGTGTGTGTTCTGAGATGAACAATGAGCTGAGAGGTTTGCCTGAAGGTCTTACCACATTCATTACACACATAGGGTTTCTCTCCAGTGTGGATTCTCTGATGGCCAATAAGGTGTGAACTCCGACTGAAAGCTTTGCCACATTCATCACACTGATAGGATTTCTGTCCTTTTAGAGTTTGTTCATGTTCAGCAGGACTGAAGGACAGATTTGGTTGTTCCTCGAGTTCCTTATAGTCTTCACACTTGTCTTTTGTGGATTTTTTCTTATCCTCATCTGTTATTTCAAAAAAATCACTTTCTAGTCTGCTCCCTTCTTCATCTGAGGGTTGCCCTTCTAGCTTCTTGAAAGTATCTTCAGAGATGTCTCCAGCCTCTGGTCCCCCAGGAAAGAGTCCCCCTGGTGTCCTATCAGATGACTCTGATCCATTAGAAATTTCCTGTTTCAAAGTCAACTCTGAACTCTCCATCCTGTTCTCACCTGCTTTCAAAAGAAGGAAGAAAACAACTTTTACTCATTTCTTCTCTTGTTGAGGAAACACAATCATCAAGACCCCATGTACCATGGGTACATGTACCCATGTACCACATTATGATTAAGACATGAGATGAGAGATTTAAAACAAGAGTAAATGGGAAGTAGCTCAATTTCTTCTTAGGGATACAAAAATAAGGAAGGGGAAGATGGGCAGTGGATGACAGTGGGAAAAAGACTCCAAGACAGCCAGATTTTGAGCCATTACAGCCAAATTAGAAGGGACATCAGAAAGCAAGAGACCAGACTGTGAAGCACAGTGTGATCCTGCAGAAGTCACACTGGGGCAATGTGTCCTTAGTAAAATGATGAACTCTTAAGTTCTTTTCCAACCGTAACATTGTATGGTTCTACGGTTCTCAGAAAAAAATGCCGGGAGACAGAATGCTGGCAAATACCTCAAGTCAAATATAATAAAGAGGGAAGGAAAAGATGGGAGTTGACTACAGATGTATATTATGAGAGGATAATTAGGAAAGTATGCAAAAAGGAGAGATCTTGGAAGACAAGACATTGACAAGATTTAGAGAGGCTATGGGCTCAGAACTGCTGGGGATAGTGTTGAAGGGGACAGGAGAGCTCTAACAGTGGGGATGCCAATAATCCCAGAGCACTGAACTGGTATCCAGTTCTGTACTCCTACAAAAATTAACAGGGACATCAATAATTGAAATATGAATTAAAATATGTTTCTGGAATCTTGAATCTATAAAATATAAAGGAAACTCAGGTGAATATTTGCCTTGTATTTTGGAATTTTTGAATACAAAATCTAGGAGAAGGTAGAGTAATCATGGTCATAGGTAATCACCAAGACATTGGTTTCTTTCAGTCATGTTTTAATTAGGGCTACAGCCATCATGCTATTTAGCCTGCGGCAAGACAAAGATGTCTGGGTCAGGAGCCCAACCCTCCCCAGAGTTGGCTAGTGTCCTAAGCTTGTCAATCACAGGAACTTCCCTGACAAATAAACCTTCCAGGAAACTGCCCTGCCCTAGTTGTTGCAGAGAGGGATGCTCAGGCAACCACGTCTTGTGTAAGTGATTCTGAGCATTGCAGGGTGGCCCACAGGTGACTGGACCAGGGGCAGGCACTAGACCCAAGGGAAGCTTATCTGTAGGTTAGGTTAGGTGTTTTTTTTTGTTTTTTTTTTTTGAGACAGAATCTTGCTCTGTCACCCTGGGTAGAGTGTACTGGTGTCATCATGGCTCACTGTAACCTCAAACTCCTGTGTTCAAGCAATCCTCTTGCCTCAGCCTTCCAAGCAGCGGGGACTACAGATGCATGCCATGACACCCATCTAATTTTTCTATTTTAGTAGAGATAGGTCTTGCTCTTGCTTAGGCTGGTCTCAAATTCCTGAGCTCAAGCAATCCTCCTGCTTCGACCTCCCAGAGTGCTAGGATTACAGGCGTGAGCCACCACACCTGGCCTATAAGCTAGTTTTGAGCCTGTGCCGAGGCCTGGGTCAAAGCTCTGTCCAAACAGAGAGGATATTTAATGGATGTAGCAACCTGAATACCTCTCTAAGTAAATGTGGAATTTGAAGTAGGGAAAAATTTAGGTAATTACAAGTAGGAAGGAAGCTGAAATGATGCACAGAGAGTTGTCAAGCCATTAGGAGCCACAGCAAACAATAAATATGAGGGAACAATTAGGAAGGAGCTATGAGAGGGACAAAAGATTCAGAGTCAATTAAATGGGTAGAAGCAACAGGACAAGCAGAGAGAAAACTGATAAAATGCAAGTAGCTGCATTATATTCACTCCAGAACATGGGCATAAAAATTCATTTGCTTTTGCTACTCAGGCTCCCAGGCTGCCCTGGGTCAAGGCTCAGTCTCTACAAGTCCCTGTTTCCCACAGTGTGGTCTAGCTGATCAGTTTGTTCTGGGTTCCTATTCCTTGGAGCCTTACAACACAGAGATCCTTACTTACAAGAACTTGAGAGACTCTCCATTCCTTACAACTAAAAAACCCCAACTAAACCACCCTATGTCAATCAGTAATGAAGTAAAGAGAATGTTGACCCTTGTAAAGCTGAGTTATGGGTGCAGACAGGTTCACTATACTATTTACTCTAGTTTATCTATGTTTGGAAATTTTCCTAATGAAAAGGTAAAAAAGACAAAGAATATAGCAAAGAAAATGTACAGAATGCAGACTCTAAGTTACTGAGGAACAGAAGTATTACCCAATGAGGCCACACTGTGGTTATTTTCCAGCATCATGTTCCGGTAAAAGGCCAGACCTTTCCACTTCTTCTCAGTATAGTCCACAGATAGGTCCTCATACGCCGCAGTATCCTGGAATAACAAGCTGCTATTGCTCAGGAACATTCCCAATCTGAAGGGCAGAGTCATCAGGGCTACAGAGGGCACAGGGTACAGGCTCTTGCTGGGCAAAGGGGTGGGAGACAGGAGCTGGGACGACAATTCCAAAAGGACAAGTCCAGGGCAAGACAGAGTCCATTAACTCAGCAGTAGGTACCCAGCCCCAGGGGGAAGCAATTAGGCAGAAGAGCCACAGGAACAGTCTCAGAAGGGACAGAGTCCTGGAGGTGAGAGCTCTAGCCATTCTTGGGCCACAGACATGGGAACTTGGGAAAAACAGAAAGAACGAAGCTCACCTGGGGCATCACCATCTGAAGCACAGTTGCCTCTGCTTGTTCTCCTGAGTTCCCAGCTTGGGGAAGGGCAGGAACTGGGGAAGCAAGTTGAGCTGAGAGAGGAAAGAAAGCTATGAGTAGGACAAACCCCGCCCTTGGCTTCCATAAGATCTATGTTCTCAATGGGTGGATTCAAGAGAACCAGGCAGCTACACACACACTGACTCTTACCCTCTTCCTTAAGGCATTATCCCAAGTTGCTATGAATTTTCCCTGGAGGGCACACAGTAGAAGGTCCCTGTTCAAACTGAGAACTCAGTGTTCCTCCAGCCTGCACTCTCTTCAACCTCTCTGAAGGGAGCTCTTCTTCTGGGCACATTCTTTGTCCCACGGCTTCCCTAACACCAGCCATGCCCGATTTTCCCCTCCCAATTCTGGTTCCTCATGCCCTGGGTCCTCTTCCTGCTCCTTCCCTCTCATTACGGACACTCCCTGGAGCTCAGGCCCCAGTGCTTCCTTTTTCTCTCTGTCAGCGATCTCACTGACCCTCATCGCTTTAACAATGCTCTCACAGTTCTCACTTCTCTCCTAGACCTGTACCACACGCTTCCAGTTGTCCATGGGACATTCCACTTGGGTGTCCTGTAGCACCTTAAGTTCAGAGTCCAAAATGCATGTTCTCACCACCTTCCTTTCTGGATTTCCCAAGTTCTGTCAAAGATTCCATTATTACCCAAAACATTCTAATTTCCCTTCCTCTTCTTTCAAATCCAAGTCCCACGGATTCTTCCATGATGTTTCTCACATCTATCCTACTCCACTAGCCTTGTACGGAGGTTCCCTCTCATTCAATCCACAATGCTCACGTGTGCCAGAGTAATCCTCCTAAAATACATCATCCTCTGCCCCCCAAAATCCTCCTGGCCTCAACCTCAAGGTCCTGTACAAGTAAGGCCCAGGTTCCCAAATATAGCCCTTCCTGACTCTACTCCAATGACACCTAAGGAACCTCCAGCTTAGAGTCTTTGCTTATATCCTTTCCTAATGGCATGCCTTCTACTTTTCTTTCCCCTTCAAAATCCAGCCCCATTTTTCACTGCTGAAGCCACTGCTACCTCCTTTGTGAAGCATCCCCTACCAGTTCCAGTCCACTATGGTCCTGTTTTTTTATCCAAAGACTACCTTTTTTAAAGCCCACATTGCTCATTTGTGACAGGATCAAATGCCTAAGGACAGATATCATTCATATGTGTCTTATGAGGTTGCCTCTTCTTTTTTTTTTTTTTTTAGACAGAGTCTCACTCTGTTGCCCGGGCTAGAGTGAGTGCCATGGTGTCATCCTACCTCACAGCAACCTCAAACTCCTGAGCTCAAGCAACTTACTGCCTCAGCCTCCTGAGTAGCTGGGACTACAGACATGCGCCACCATGCCCGGCTAATTTTTTCTATATATTTTTAGTTGTCCGATTAATTTCTTTCTATTTTTAGTAGAGACGGGGTCTCGCTCTTGCTCAGGCTAGTCTCGAACTCCTGAGCTCAAATGATCCACCAGCCTCGGCCTCCCAGAGTGCTAGGATTACAGGTGTAAGCGACTGTGCCCGGCCAGGTTGCCTTTTCTTACATTTATGACTGACTCTACCACCTAGATAACAAGCTCTTTGAAAGCAGTGACAATGTACTATATCTCTCTGGTCTCCAACACTGCCTTTCCTATGACACGCGCTTGACAAAAACTTCCTAAATTCATGAATGACTGGAGAATAAGCAAAAGGAACAGACAAGGTCACTGGGAAGGAAGACAGATGGCAGGGAAATGAGGAATCCCAACAGGGAGGGATATGGGCAGAAATGAAGGAAAGGAGACTTCAGAGGAGACAAAGGAGGCATGACTTGAGGTCAGAGCTGGGGAGATGAGTACCAAAGTGCCCACTGGGGAGGCGGTGTGCCTCTGGGTCATGAAGAGGCTTCAAGCAGGCTCCAGGGACTGAGCCCCCACTGAGCAGTGAGGTAGGAGGAGATTCCTTTGTTGCACCCAGAGCTGTTGTCTCCTCCAAATGCATTTCCTGTTCCTGTGCCAGGGTTGAAACCTAGAGACAAGGAAATATAATTGGATTCAAAACAGCATTCTTGTAGATACTGACCCCGAACCTCTAAGTAGTTCCCTACAGAAAAAAAGCCAAGGAAAAGAAGAGCCAGTGTCCTTCCCACCCCACCAGTACAGCATACTGGGGAAAAGTGTGTCAAAGCAGAATCTAACGCCTGCAATCCTACTCATCATCCCTCTGTTGACCCTCATGGTGGCAGCTTGAGGACTAGATGCTATAACCATTTCCACTGTGTTAAATCTTCAGACACAAATTTCCTTATGAAGAACCATCCAGAAAAGGGAGCCAGGAGGGTAATTCTGTACATTCTCTCAGAGTAACTCATTACATTTTCTATATAGCATGTACTGATCTTTACATTATTTATGTCTTTATTATTTATTATTCTCCACTGAAATATGTTTTTTGAGGGTAAAAACTTGGTCTTAATCACAAGTTCCAAAACAATACTTAGCCCAACACTGATGTACAATTAATATTTGCTGACTGACTTCTTCTTGACATTTTGCTAAGAGATTTTAGGTTTATCTATAAACTCGGTTTTCAATATTTACTACCTCTCCCCAATAATTTATATTTAAAAAGTCAAATAAGATCAGACAACATTAACCTTTAGAGATCTTGAGAATACCTCAGAGCACAGACATTATATTTCTAACCCTTGCTTACTGTCATCAAACCAGCTCCTCATAATCTCATGGTTACTGTTTTTAACAGCACTTGGAGCAGAAAACCTAAAACATTATCTAAATAAAGCATGTTTATAAGCTCACTCTGGCACGTACATAGCACACCATGAGGTGAAAATAACTTCTCCTTCAATAAACCATGCTGGATTTGCTCTATTGGGTTACATCTGCTGAGATGTTATGACACTGTCTTCTTTAAGATGTATATCAGCAGCATAGTGGCAGGAGGCTCCCTGGGGTCTGTGGTTCCCAGGCTCTCCACTGAACAGTTCTTATATATGGGAGTCACAGCTCTTCAGTGCAGGAGCTATGGGTATTGGCAGAAGATAGAACTTAACTGCATTGTGATAACACAACTTTATAATTCATTGACAATTAAATCCTGGTACAGTTCTTGTTCATTATTTAGGACTCAGACTCACAGGTTTTCTTTCCTTGAAGGCATGAGAACCTCATTCTAATTCTTATTTTAAAATGGCATTCCACAACAAGACAATAGAGAAAAGCTAGTGGCTTAGAACCTAGGGAGCTGGCCTGGTCCTCACACTTAGCAGTAATCAGCAATAACCACACTTGAGCTAAATCTTGTGAACAAGGGAATGCTTACTAGATGTGTCATCTTGGACAAGCTAATTAATCTCTTTGTGCTCACTTTACTTATTAAATGGAGATAATGATGACTGTATTGCTTATTTTATAAGCCTGGTGGGAGCTGAAATAAGATAAAGGATATAAAAGCATTTTGCAAGTTGTACAATTCTCCAGCCCGGCAAGGATCATTCCACAACCCTTTCCCAGCCCCAGTCTGGACACATGCCCATGCTCTTCCTGCAGCAATAAAGTGGCTTGCTCCTAATAAGCAGAATGACTTCGACTTGCCTGGATCCTCCTTAATCTCCTTCTGGCAAACTGCCACCGAAAAGCTTCTTTAGCCATTCTATAAACATTTTCTGAACCCCTCCTATGAAAGACAGGCTTGCCCACAGTAGTGGCAGAGTAAGAAATGGAGTATAAAGACCCCACTCCTAGGCTGGAGACATTAATGTTCAGCTGCCTTGCCTGTCAACTGTCAGTCACTCTCTTGGGTGGTGACTTTACAGTCACCTCTTTCTGAGGCTACCTGGATAAAACACTGAGTTTGAATGGAGGGAGCATTCACTTCTGCTTAAACAAAACCAGAAAGGAAAAAGGGAAATTTTCCTTCCACCCTCTCTAAATGGTACTCTAAATACATGGTCAGCTACTTGTCATTGCCATGGCTGGTCCAACTGCTCTCCGGGCCCTGGTGATGGCTGATTTATTCATGTGCGCTTACTAGTTTACACAAAGAAAATGATGACTGACAATGGATTTGATAATGACAAATGTGCATTGGCTGGTACTCTTGGAAAAACGTCTAGCCCCGGGACCCTGATCAACTGGAACTGATTCCCTAATGATAGATACGTAATCATTTTTAAAAAAGAACTGAATAAAATAACATGCTGGATATTTGAGAAATTTTATATACTGGTTTTCCCTGATAACATGCAAAGCGGCAAAACAGAGGGGACTCTAATCTACTTTGCTCAGGTTACAGGGGAATAATTTGAGACTCATTAGGAGGAACCAACTTATCCACAGTATAAGGGTCTTTTGATGTGTCAACTTGGTACTAATCAAACATGAATCCAGGGGTTGCTATGAAATATTTTGTAGATGTGCTTAAAGTCCTTATCAGTCTACTTTAAGAAAAAGAATTATCCTAGATAATGGATGGATGAGTGGGCCTGACGCTATCTGTTGCAAAGCTTTAAAAGCAGAGCTGAAGGTTCCATGAAGAAATTTCACCCGTGCACTGCAACTTCAGCTTGTGCCAGAGTTCCAGCCTGCCCTTCCTGCTGAAGGCCTTATGGATTTCACACCTGCCTAGCCAGCCCCATAATCACATAAGCCACTTTCTAGTAATATATCTTTTTACACACACACCCCTCTCTCTCCTACTGGTTCTGCTTCTCTGGCTGAACCTGACTGAAACACATGATCACAGAGTTCATTAGCTTTGTGGTCCTAGAAGCCAGGCATTCCAATATATCATCATACGGCTAATTCTTTCCAACTTTTCCCCTAATTTGAGTTACCCTGGCTTTAAATTTGAGAGAAGCCCAGAAAATAGGGAAAAAAAGGCCCCAGTTGGGTTTGGAGAGCTAGCAAAAGGAACAAATGGTTATATGGTGCAAAAATGTCAATTCTCATAAGGAACCTAAGAGGCAGAAAGGAGAAAGTTGATTCTGAGAAGTCCAAGGAAGTGAGCAATGAGAACTTCTCAAACGAAGGCCCATGTTATCAGCATAACTTAAAGGACCATGTCCCCCACCTCCCCCAGTCCCTGTTCTAACCAGCATGCAGATTCCCTGCCTGACAGGAGTGTTGTGTGGATCTCCAGGCTGAAGCTAGGCCCACAAACATAGTATTTCACAAAGTGATTCACGAGCTTAGCTGGGATTTGCATTTTTGTTTATGGCTTAGAACACAAAACTATTTCCCCTCTATCCATGGAAAAAGTTCTATGGGCGAATCGGCCTAGAGCCTGGGGAATGGAGAATGCCTACTCTCAAGCACTAGAGAATGGTTCTAGATGCCATTCTAGACTCAACTGCTCACCTCTCCTGATCCATTAAGGTGTCTCTGGAAATCCTCCACCACAGCCACAGCCTCCTCGCCACTCTCGGGATGATGGAGCTGTACCCAGGTCCGGAGTTCCCCAGGCAGGATGCTCAGGAACTGCTCCAGCACAAGCAGCTCCAGGATCTGCTCCTTGGTGTGTACCTCTGGCATCAGCCACCAGCGGCAGAGCTCCCGGAGCCGGCTCAGAGCTTCCTGCGGCCCAGACATCTCGTGGTAACATAACTGCCTAAAGTGCAGCCGGAAGATTTCACAGACAGGAGGGTGGTTCTTTTGGAGACTGCAGCCCTGCCCCCAGGTCTGGCTTTCTGGCTCCTGCTTCATAGTCAGGCGCCCCTCCTGCTTCTGGAAAACAGCACTCCTGGGGATGAGGCCTACAGTTCCCCTGCCTTCAGTGGTCATTGTGACCCCAATGAGAAGTTTGTTCCAGCCGTAGTTGGTCTGCTTAAAATGACGGTCTGTAGTTCAGGTCTGAGAAGCTGTTCCTCAGGGTTGGGGAAAGGGGTGATGGGAGTGACACCTATAGAAACAAGAGAGAAATTAGAATCCCTGAAGTGTTCAGCTCCAGGCTGATGACAGATCCTCCACTGAGTTAAAAAGGAAAACTCCAGGGAAAAAAGAACACAAGCTGGGCAGTCTACGCATCTCTCCAAGTGACTTCCCTTCTTAAAATTTCAGTGGCTCCTATCACCTACAGGATAAAACCCAAATGTCTATGGTCCCTTGGCCAGATCCAAACTTCACAGAACAAATCCCTTTATTAAAAGGATTTGATCTGTAAAATTTGGGTTCAGTCAAACGGCCATACTCAAGGATCCAGAAGGCCACATGTGGCCCCAAGGCTGCAGGTTCCCTACCCCTGGTCTATGCCTAGCATTCACAGCCCTTCGCAACCCTGCCTTAGATCGCTGATCCAGTCATATCCCCTACCACTCTCCCCAAGTACCCAGGTTAGAAATACAGCAATGGTCTCCAATGTGGGATATGCAACATATCACAAAGGGAGCAAAAGGAAATATCAACTTGTTATTTAATGCCTATTGAATGTATGTTTTATAGAGTGCATTAACATTTGTATGTAGTACACATCTTTAACTTGCAAATAAACCTATGTAGGGAGTGCACGATCAAAATTCTTCTACTGATAAAGATGCACAATAAAGTTTGGAACTAAAGCTCTAAAGACATAGCCAGAAGCCACATGTACTCTTTCCCTGTTTGGATTTTTTTTCTTCCTTTCCATTTCTGACAAACTCATCTGCCAAGACCCAGAACAAATGCCATTTTCTCTTGAAGCCTTTCCTGATCGCTCCAGCAGGAAGAGGGCTGGTAGCTTCCCTTTCTGTTCCTCTCACTATAACTCTGTATTTTAACTGGCTTATGCACAACTCACCACTCTCACCCTCCAGACTGCTGGACAGCCACTAAAGGAAAGGAACCAGATGGAGTAAGAAAATGCCAGACCTTTTTCTACTCAATGCACCTCCCCTAAAAAGACTTCCTGAGCTCTCTAGGCTCAACTGTCGCTATTAAGTCAGTGTTCCCACAGTACCTTTTTCATTCAGACTTCTGTTAGAGCACTTCTCACACTGTAATTGTTTGTGGTTTAAAGTACGACTGTCTCCCCCACTTTTTGGGAGGACAGAAAGGGCAGGGCTGACTTCCATTCATCTTTGTACACATGTGCATACATGGCACACAGAAGCACATATTTGGAAAATTAATGCACACGGTTCATTTAGCTGATACTGAAGTGGGAGAAAACTTTCAAAATCAGCACCTAGTGTAACTAGGGCATCTGTGCTGTGCTTCCAATTCACCATGCATCCCAGATCCCTAGGTAAGCTATTTCTTCCTGAACCTCAATTTCTTTAAAAAGACAAAGACGGACTTTAAAATAATCTGTAAACTCTGCTCTGAGATCTCACACACTTAGGAAGTTCAGGCCATTTTCCTACTTCTCTTACTGTTCCTAACGCTCAGCAGCTTATCTCAATTGGATTTTTGCATTTCCAAGTCACACTTCATGTTTGAAATTCTGAGCCGGGTCTGACCCACTTCTAACGGCTTGTATTGTCTCCCAGTGCAAGGCTGGGAAAACGGCTATCTTTCGTGTTAAACCAGGTTTGTGCGGCGCCGCTCACCTGGCCACGTCTGCCCTGTTCATCGCTGTACCCGCAAGTGCCCGGCTCCGCGCCACGCACGTCTGGTCAAAGGAATGGGACAAAGAAGCGGCTCTACATCGGGCGGCTTCTGAGCGTCACCGGGACCGCGCCGCCCGCCGCGGGGGCGAAGCGCGGTCCCACCCGGAGTCGGCGACCTTGGCCCCGGCCGCGCTTCCCTCCCTGTCCCGGCCCACTCGCGGTGATCACTCGGTGCCGACGCCAGACACCGATACCACAGGTAGACGCGAAAACAATGGCCGAGCCGGAAGCGAGAGGGGCCTCGACTTCCGGCCCCTACAGGATCCCGGAAGTCTCAGTTGTGAAGGTGGGCGCGCGCGCCCTCGCACTGAGGAGAGCTACCCTGACCCTCAGCCCGGCGGTGCCGGGCCACTAGCGACGGGAGTGGGGACGGGGCATCACGCGGAAGCCCCAGGTCGCGAACCTCCTGCTTTCAGGCCAAAGTTGGGCAACCCAGACTCACCCCAGCTCTACTCCTTCCCCTCCTGGTGACCTTGGGAAAGATACTCAGCCTCTAAACCTGCTTTCACATCTGAAAAATGCAGAGCATAGTTCTTACCTCACAGGGCTGTGAGCGCTGAATGAGGTAACATTACAGGCACTGCATAGCAAAAGCCCTGGCGTATCCTAAACATTCAGTCAGTTATACCTGCGGTCCCCAAACCCCTGGCCACCTGCCTCTGTGGCCTGTTAGGACCAAGCTGCACAGCAGGAGGTGAGCGAGCCAGTGAAGCTTCATCTGTATTTACAGCAGCTCCCGATCGGTGGCATCGCTGGCATCACTTCCTGAGCTCTGCCTCCTGTCAGATCAGTCCTGGCATTAGATTCTGCATTATGGTGAGTTGTATAAATTATTTCATTATATATTAATACGTAATAATACTAGAAATAAAGTACATAATAAATGTAATGGCTTGAATCATCCTGGAACCATCCTCCCCCATCCCTCACCCCCATTTGTGGAAAAATTGTCTTACATGAAACCAGTCCCTCGTGCCAAAAAGGTGGGGGACTGGTGATATACTGTGTGTGATGCCCAGTATGAGTCTCAATGAAGTAAGCAGTGAGCATCTCCATTTTACAAATGAAGAAACAGGCCTAGAGATTGTGATTTTTCATCCCATAAATGTGGTTAATCTTTCCTAAGACAGTACCAGCATTCTAGTGTCTAAGGAGAGGCTTCTAGGAGAAGGCCAGAGAGCAGACTAAAAGTGAGAAGTACGATGACAACTTGTAATCTAAGAGGTAGAGTCTAGTCTTTGGGTGGCAGTTGTTACCCAGGCTGACTTCACTTTGAAAAATGGTTTTCATACAGAAGCAGCATGTGAACAGGTCCTTGGTACTAACGTAGGTAAACGCGCCCTGGAGGAACAACCTCTAAGTGTAATGGCCATCCATAAAGGGAAGAGGGTAACAGGGAATTAACTATGTATATTTATGTATCTCATTGTAGCCCAGGAGGTGGGTCCTTTACACTGTAAACAGTCTCCTGGGCTGGCCAGGGATCAGCAATATTTCATAGGTGTCCTGGGCCTACTTCTGTCCATGACATGTGTTCCTCATGTATCTGCACAGGTCAGGATAGAGACAAAGGCATCAAAAGTCATGCTCCAGAGTTTTACAAGCTTAAAGGAGATCTCTTGGAGCTGTCTTTTTCCACTGATCCTGATGGGTGGCCTCCTGACACCAAGGTCATCCACTACATTTGGAAATCTCACAGGGAGATCTTGACTGTTCAAAACCAAGAACCCCAGACTTTACCTGACATTGTCGTTGCCCATTAGTCCATCAAGGCCTCAGAAGCTCAGGGTTCTTGAATAGGAGATCTCTTAAGGCCAGGTCAAATGCTATCAATCCCGATTTCCAGATTCTCTGACCATATGTAGTCCTGCAGTTCTAGTTTCCTAGTGTATGAGACACAAAGATCTGGAAACCAAGATTGAGTTTTTTTATTCCTCAGAGCTGTTTCATGCATAAGTGGTTGACTTTCATCATCTGTGAGAGCCAGGCCCATCTGGGCAGTGTGTCTAGATTTCAGAGGTGCTTCTGTGGCCAGCACTGTGGGGCTAATCTACCACAACTGGGTTGGACACCAGTGAGTAAGACATGCTCCATGTTGCCTCCCATATAACATGTTGGAACACCCACATTTGGGCCAAAGACAACTCCAGAAGGCCTGTAGGAATTCTGTATTCCACCATCTCTTGGAAACCATCACATAAGCTTTGTATGAGAGGTAACAGGTAACCCAAGTACTACATGCCTGAAATAAAACTCATCATCTACCCACAATCCTGAAGCTCTACCCATGTTCCCTGTAAAAGGTACTAGAACCCTGGGTTGGTGACCATGAGCTGGGTGACCATGGCAAATTATTTAGCCTTTCTGTGCTATAGCTTCCTTATCTGTAAAATGGGGATAACAATATACTTAAATTAGAGTTGTGAGGATTGGATGAGATAAAATATATAAAGCACTTAGAATGGTGCCTGGGTGGGAGGCTTGTTGTGACATGGGCAGAAAATCCCAGCTACTGTGATTGAATGGGAGAGAATAGGGCCCAAGTCCTAACTAGGAGAACAGAGAGACTGTCCTTTCACCTAGAAAATTCCTTCAAAGCAGCTGAGATGCCCTTTGTCTAGGAAGCCTTTTCTGCTTCCACCTAGATTAGGTGCCCCTTCCTTTGTGCTCCTGTGGTGGCCTGCTATATCCTGGTCACAGACCTTATTTGTCATACTGCATTAACACTGTCTACTTATTGGCCTCCCCCACTGGACTGTAAGCCCTATGTGGGCTGACACCCTGCCTCCCTGGTTCATAATTGAGTCCCCAGGCACTAAGTTTAGGTTTGGCTGGGTTTTTAAAATACTTCTCTCCTTAGTTGGATGTGAGCTCCCTGTGGTCAAGCCACCTTTTGTTTCCCTGGCATCCAGCACAAACCCTCATCTAGCCTCTAAGTAATGTGTCCTTGATCCAGGTTGCCAGAAGGCTTTTAAGCAGGGAAGGAAACTGACCAGCCTGGGCTGTATGTAGAAAGTTGCCTGTAATGGCTGGCTATATTGAGGGGCTTGGAGGGAATGAGACTCACACATCCCTTATAGCTGCTTATTGGCTTTGCACTCCCAGTGCCTCTGTAAGACAGGATCATTAGTGTGCAGATGAGGATCTTGACGCTGGGCAATTGTCTTGCTAGCCGGGTAACATTTTACTGACTGAAAAGGGTAAATTAGGCCTTGGATTCAGGTCTTTAGACCTTCCCTCCTCCATTCT